CCACTGACCTTAGGTTAACCAGCTGGGTGAACTGACTGCGTATTGCTGCAAAATGACACGAATAACATATTTGAATATGCACAGACTACCTCCAAATTGTTAAAGAACACGGAGAGGATTTAGATAAAGATAAATTCTTTACAGATAAATCGTGTGTACTGGTAAAATTTTGCTAGTACAGAAACAAGGATGTTCAAACTTGGCTGTGCCAAATATACTCACAGAGAGAAATGGGAAAAAGCAGATTACTGAACAGTCCCTGACTTACATAACATAGCTGTGGCACTAAAGGGACAGCTTTAGGGAAAAAAAAAAAACAAAACAAAAAAAACAAACCAACCCAAAAACCCAATCAACCAGCCCTACAGCCAGGAGATCTGCACAGATTGCCAGGGACTGAGGTGTTCTGGATTTGCAGACTTTAAAACTGAGAATATCCCAAGCGGTAATAGCAGCGCTAGGGTTGCAGATCTTGGGAGATTTCATTTTCACAGGTCAATTCAAGACAAGCTGTATCTTATTTGAAAGCTGTGTTAACTCTGGGCACATATTTATACAAATCCTCTACTTTTTTTTTTTTTTTTTATTAAGCCACATCCACCCATAGGTGTTTTTTTTCCCCATATGTAGTCTCACGTATAGGACTTCTAATGTAAAATAAGTCTCCCAGGAAAAAATGAATTAATAGATGAGCATGTAACAGAAAATACAGGTTAAATATATAATAGGAAGGACTTAGTAGCTAATTTTCCATCCACAAACCATTTTCTTTTGATTAAACTAAAATACAATAAAACCAACAACTGAATATTAAAGAAACATGTATTTCAGAACTCCAGAAACACAAACGCAATGCCCTTGCCAGTCAGTATATCCTTGAAGGCTTCAATTGCAAATATTTCACATCTGGTAAAATGTAAAGCAAAATGTAAAACATGGAACATTTAAAGATGCAGGTCTAGCAGCTGAGGAAAAGAGCTCCAGGCACAAGCCTGCGAGGGGTAGCGTTGGCTTGCGTGCTTCACAAGCCATACAGACTTGCAAGCTCTGTAGTGTAATCAAAATGTTCCGGTGTTTCTACGTTTGCTGTAGCACGCATTACATGCAAACAGTATCTTTTTCCATTTCTGAGATGCTGCTGAAACATTCCTGCAGAATTAATGCCCCTCTCTTACATCCGACAAAGCTATCCTTTTAGGAGGATCTGTAAACCCACAGCCTTGGTTTTCCACCATCTCCACCTGCAAGCACTCCAGCACTTGAAGACCAAACAATAACTTCAGTTTTCAGAAGCTTGAACGTACAACCAGAAAAATACAAAGATATTGCTGTGCTGCTCTTTCACTTTCAACAGACTCTCCTGAGTCTTCCTCCCGAGAGGTCTTCTTTACCTCAAGAGGGAAAATAAAAGGTTTCTGAACCACCATCTCAAACAATCAGGGCAGAAAGCAGCACCCTGATGGCATTTAAATGAGCGTGCACTCTTTAAAAAAGTACATAGATAAAATGAAAGTGCCCCAAATATGCTGAGTCAGACCTCAGCATGCACTTGTTTTACATTCCTCAGGAGGAAAAGCCGTACAAGTTTTTTTTAAAAAAAAAAAAAGAAAAAACAAGCAAAAAACCACACACACACACAAAAAAATCCAAAACTCAGGCATACCTGTAGCACAGCAAGACCGTAGAGGCAAGTCACAAGAGCTCAGTGTGGATGGTTACCACCGAACGTGATCCCAAAAGTGTTAACTCATAAAACGAGAGGGGCGAGTGAGTGCAGGGATCAGGTTTCTTCAAATAAGCGTTATGTAAGTCGCTGCCTTTATCTTTTCGTACTGCAGAGTCACAAAACTTCAAAAGCCTCTTTTTAAAGCTTCTGTTATTTTTATTGCTTGTGTCGGCAGGGTTTGCTACCGCGAGGAGTCCTGCTACAGCTGAGCACCAAACCTTCTTTTTAACTCACACAAAACGGTATTAAGCAATGGAGGTCTTTTCCTTTCGGCTTGGGAAACATGTTGACTTAGCGGAGCAATTAATTTAGGCAAAACTTTTTTTTTTTTAACGGGTGTTTCTTTGTTTTTAAAGGCGGGGGTTGTATCACTTTTAAACACTACATCGGCATTATTATTTCCTTAGACTATTCATCCGTTGGTAAAAGACGTATCTAAAGTCATCAGCGGGGTGAGGTAGTGAAGTAGGGACATCGTTTCAAAGCTCTATGCACGGCAAAGTTTATATAGTATAGGAAACATATTTCCTCTTTCAGAGTGAAAATAAGTAACATGTAAAAAGGTGACAGTTTTGTAGATCACTGTACATATCACTATAATAAGTGTTTAAAATGCTGATACATTTTTATGCTATCACAGGACACTGTATACTTTTTTTTCCCTTCAGAATTAAAGTGACTGCCTGATCCTTGTATCCCTCCCATTGTCCTTTTTATTGGATTATTTGGATTATTCTTTAAGGAACTTTATCTAAGGATATTAGCAATCCAAAATTCACTGTTTCCTCAGAGGCACATTTAAAAAGTAGCACTAAATGTACGTGTTAGTCTACCACGTTTTTGCCTTGGGAAAGCAACCAGCCTTACAATTTAGTCCTCACATATAAGCTGTTTTCCCATATTCTAAATAACTTTGTCAATGTTATTTATTTACAGTTCCTAAAATAAAGTCAAACAAATGAAATACAGCCTACCAAAGAATTCCAGAGTGAAGTCATACGGTTCAAAACCCAACCCTCTTGTTTTGTTTTGTTTTGTTTGGCTTTTCCCACTTGTATACTACAAACAACAAATTATAGCACATGCGGAGCTTAGCTACTCCATGGCAACTTCAAAGAACAGGAGTGAAATAAATGCAAGAAAAGTTGGCAGTTTAAATCATTCCTAGAAAAGAGAAATGACAGCAACATCTGCAGAACCTTCTCTCCACTGGAGTTGCTTAACCACATTTCCACTCCCTCAGTCACAGTAATGTGGCTCCAGAAATTCTCTTTATACAGAGGACTATGCCCATTTACCTTAATAGTAACATTAAACTTTGGAAATGAAATATCTTATAATCTGATTTCCTGTTGTTTCCATGTTCCTTGCTAGGCAATCCATGCAGTTTTTTTACTAAGAAGTCAAAACTTAATTCAACACATTCATGATCTCTGTACACACAGGTGGTTGCACTTCGTACGGTGGACACATACCTCTTTCAGATCTCGCATTTCCAGCTCTTACCCAGTGACCAACAATTTTATCACGAAGATTTGGCTGTACTTGTAAAAACTTGTAGCTGCCCTTTCACTTCAAACAAATGCTGCATCTCCATTTGTTTTCTTCTTTTTGCTTAGTCACAGTGTTAGCGTCACAGCACACGTGCTGTTTCAGTATTTATGAATGACTGCTGTTCTCTAAATATATGACCTGATCGTCCTCTTGCACATTAGCAGCGCTTCTAATGCTAATGGAACTCCATTAATGTGGAGTCATCCAGGTTTTACACTGTGGTAATTAAGGTACAATAAACCTCCAGACCTCTACCTTCTTCTCCTGGAAAAATGTGTTAATGAGAACTCTATCACCCAGGTAACAGCTGGATTAATACATTACATATAGGTGGTATCCCGTGAAAATCAACAGTTAATCAGCAGTAGCATGCCAGAATTCTCTAACGACCCCACCACGGGAAAGACAGAGGGCCATTAGCAGTACGTAAAGGAAGAAAACATGGATGAGAAAAAGCAAAAGAAATTAAAATCCCATTGAGAGAAGGCTAATACATACTGTTGACTATTTTTAAATGACACTCCATAATGAATATTTCTCTGATAGTCTATCAGTTTAATTGGAGATACTGTCATTAGTAAAATTAAGGATTTCCTAAATTACATTTTATTCCCATCACATCACATAGCGGTCTTTATCAGTAGCACTGAGAAGGTGAAAAGGGACACACATTTTTTCTTTTTTCCTTTAACTTTAGAAGTACCAGCACCCAATGAAGATACTAGGCAGCTGGTTTCAAACTAACAAACACAACCAGCCTTTCTGCCCACGAGGCATAATTAGACAGCGGAAGCCACTGTCATAGGGTGCACTCAAGGTGAGCATTACGGGCAGGTTCAAAAAGGGACTGGCAAATCCACAGGGTCTAGGTCTATCAGCAGCTGTTTGACACACCGATCCAGTGGCAACATCCAGCTCAGGAATCCCCTGAACAGCTGGCTGCCAGGATGCAGAGTGAGAGGCGAAATTCCCTACGCAGCCCCTGCTGGCCACTGACGCAATCCTGAGCTGATGCAACACAGAGATTTTTGTCGTATCATTGATGGAAAAATTACGTAACAAGATACATTACGCAAAAAAGATGTAACATTTCTGCTTTAGGCAGCAACCATGGTTTGTAAGCCACACATTAAAATGCCTTGTCTGCAGATTGCATTGTACTTTTGAATTCCTAAACTGACCAGGAAATCATCTATAGAGTTTCACAGGTAATCTGAGAACGTAGTACGCCATCTGAATAACCTTAGCCACAAATTTTGAAACAAGACATGCAGACTTACATCACATCTGCCACCAGGGTACAAGTCAAAAAAGCATAATCTCTCAACATGAGCTTCACCAAACAATGTATTTGTGTCCCTAAATTTTGGGCTTGTGATTTATGCAGAACTTACATGAACAGTGGCCATAATACACAAATAGATTAATTTACCATTAATCTAACTTATGCCAAGCATTAAGATAAACCTCGAGGAAGTAGAGAATATTTCACTGCATGCTAAAGCATGACACTGCTAGGTGAAATCTGAGACCTTCAAAAGAACATAATATGAAAGTATCAATTAGAATCTACTGACAAAAACCATCTAAAATATTCTGTTCACTTTTTGACTTAATTTCTATTTCAATAAACTCTCCCCCCCAATCTTCTAAAATGTGTTATCAAAAATCTCCAGCGTATTACAAAATTGTGTTGCAAATTAAGTTGCTTGCTCTTCTATTAAATGTATTTATTCAGCCAATTGAGCATATCCTTTCTTCCCTCTTCAATATAAGGTTTATCCTGCGGATTGATATCTTCTCTTCTGCGATGTACAAAACCATGAGTTTGTCCAGGATAAATTTTAACTTCATAATCGACCTTACAATTTTTCTTTAGCTTCTGCTCCAGCAGGGTGACCTGTAATATAAAGCATAGGAGTAGCTATATTAATGTAGCCATATACCATGCTGCCCCTCCTCATCTTATTCAGAATTCAACTCCCTAATTTATGATTCAGGTTAGACACTAATAACCAAGCTCCATATGGGCAAACCAAAAAGTAAATAATTTTATAAAGAAAAAACACCTTTGCAGTAAGGCTCTAGAAAATTTGGGAAAAGTCCAACAATCTGCAAAGACATGGATATAATAAAAATCTTTCCTACATTTGAAATATATGACAATGCTAAATACACTATAACTGAACAAAAAGCTTCTAACAGACACCGACAGATGCAATTTGGCATATCCTACAGGGCTCATGGGTTACTAGGACCGACAGAAAAGAAAGTCATACAGCAAAGGATAGGCCCAGAGTAGAATATTCCAAAACAGTAATGTGATTTTGATAAAACTTTGTTACTTAGGTTAATAGCCATACTTTTACAAAAGAGAGAGACTTAAGAAAAAAATAACATATCTAGCTTTCATTCTTTGCCTAGGTTACATTAGCCCTTCTATGTCTAAGTCCATTTTTTTGGCTTATTTTTTGACCTTCAAGCACTATTATGAGGCTGAATTTTGACTCCCAATTCAGGACGGAAATTTAAACATGCACAAATGGAAGAAGATGGACATTATTAGCATACTTGATGAAGGGGAATGAACTCATCCTTTTCAGCAAAAATGAAAAACGTAGGGTTCAGGAGATTGGATATATCATCAGAATCCTTGATCAGTCCTAAAAAGACAAAAAAAAAAAGCACTTCAATTGACTTTTAAGGTGAAATCCAGATTCAAATAAAGCACTCTGCTACTATAGTGAAAAATGTTCATGTCTTAAGTGATATGTAATGATAAATATATTTTTTACTTTCAAGCTACTGTAACCAAGACTCCTAGAAGAATACATTCCAAGATTAAAACTCTATTGAAGCCAGTTTCTTAAGATGAAGACTCAATATCTGAACTAGTAAGACTTGAAAGATGCATCCTCTGCATACCAGCCTGAGTTCATTTGAACTGACTGGGAATGTCCACGCTTTAGTAAGTAAACCAAAATTTACATTCTGAGAACATTAGCAAAGGGCAGCTTATCTATCCCAGCTTCTTGAGCAGGGCATAAAAGGAAAGCTGCTGTTAAAACAACCACAATCTAACTTTACAGAGTAGCTAGATCAAAAATAACACACTCTGCTTCTGGGTGAAGTGCTAGCACTGCAGCATGAGGAGCAGCAGTAAACAGGAAAAGCGAGCTAAATCGGGAAGGTGACCGAAGGACATGTCTGTCTGTCCAGACCCAAAATAAACACATGGCTGCTATGACCCATTCTGAAACTAGAAATAAATATCCACAACACCATCTTCTTTGCATAATATCCTTCCTACTCAGCTGAAAACAGAATGGAATGGAATGGAATGGAATGGAATGGAATGGAATGGAATGGAATGGAATGGAATGGAATGGAATAGAGTATTTCTGTTGGAAGGGACCTACAACGATCATCTAGTCCTACTGTCTGACCACTTCAGGACTGATCAAAAGTTAAAGCATGTTGTTAAGGGCATTGTCCAAATGCCTCTTAAACACTGACAGGCTTGGGGCATCGACCTCCTGTCTAGGAAGCCTGTTCCAGGGTGTGACCACCCTCATGGTAAAGAAATGCTTCCTAATGTCCAGTTTAAACCACCCCTGGCACAGTTTTGAACCATTCCCATGCAAAATCGGTCTTCACGGGCTGACAGCCTGATTTGAAGAAATGACGCTAAACCAAGTACATAACCTACACAATATACATATGCATGAGTACCTGCTTATATTACGTCTTCGTATTTACCTACCATAAAGAGATACACCAGCCTTCAATTCTGGGTATGTCATCATCAGGTGACGTACAGCAACACCACCCCAGCAAAAACCAACAACCCCTAATTTCTTTGCACCACACTGTTCCTTTAGATATTTCAGGACAGCATCAGCTTCTCTGGAACATATAAGCAAGTGTAAATTAAGCACCCATAGTAAAACCAGTATTTGAAGATATGAAAAGAAAATGTAGAGATGCATTTAAGTGTCCCCATATCATGCTGCTACTATATTTTCTTTCACATCCTTTAAATAAATCACTATTTCAGACACATATTAAGAGTTGCTAATCTGAAATCACCAGAAACAGGAGAAAAAAGAGAACTGAATGGAATTAAATAAAATGCAGCACGAATAACATACATCGAAGGAAACCTAAAGAGGTGGAAAGTAGATGATTGATTAAACATCTACCTAAGAGCTTAAAAAGCTTAAAATTCTTTGAGAAGCTGGATGAATTTTTGCTTTGTAAATGTTGATAGAAAAAGTAATAAAAATCTCTCTAGAGAATACTATTCATTAGACAGTAGAAATGCTGACAATAACTGTAAGTTAGCATCTGAGATATTTACTGCAGAAGAGTCAATGTAACAAACATGGTAGATGTTTTCAGAACAATGTAGCTTGAAATACACCTTTTCCCGATGTTGTATTCCGGAAACACCCATTTACCCCTGCAGCAGGCATCACCATGCAGAGGCAGTAAAGTATTGCTGGGAGAGACGTAGCAGTTAAGTCTTTTATATCACCTCAAGACTATATTTTCAGCCCCAGTTCCTTGCCCCCTGGGGCACACAAGCTATATACGCTGTCGATACATCAGCTTTGCAAATACCCCATTATTTGCCAACACACAAACACACACAGAAGCAAATTAAGTGCCAAAAATATTCTTTCTTCACTGGAGCTAACACTTGAAACGTGAATCACCTGTAAGAAATGCCAGGCAGAGCCCAACCCTTCCTTACCATCACAGCAGAAAGGGGACAGATTCCAAACTAAGAAGTTTCCACGACAACTGAACCCTCTGAGACAGAAGCTCTCTGGAAATGATTCAGTTACATCTCCCATAACCTTCTCACCAAATACCTAATCCCAGCAACCTTCAACATAGCTACTACCAACAGTCTGAGAAACATATTTGCTCTCCCAGGAAGTTAATTAGTTTGGTTTCTAATTGACCCCTTCTCGGTATTGTCATGACAACAGCTTCCTTCTGTGTTACTAAGGCAGCAGAGCACCTCTGCTAGTGACAGATCTTTACTGATAAATGCTCAGGCAGTGCTACACACGAGAGAGGAAGACATCATCTCTTCGGGACAGGACTAAAACAACAGGATACTTTACTTGCTAACATTAACAAGTTAATTTTAACCAACAGCTTAAATTCAAAGCTAACTGGAAGCCACGACAGGCCACAGATCACTGCCTGAGCTCTGTTCCTCAAGGACTGCTTCACACGGGAAGCACTAGCTTCTGTTTCTCAATGGTCCCTACGCACAGTTCTTCACTGAGGACATGAGGGTCATTTATCATACAAACAGCCAAATGGCTGCAGGGCACTACCCCTACGCCAGGAGTTAAGAGGCTAGAAGATTCTAGTCCAAGTTACAGAGGAAAAAAAAAAACTTGGCTTGGCAAAGGACCTTTGTAGCAGCCTGGGTTCAACAGCCCAAGAACATACCTGGTCTACAAACAGTAGCAAAAGCATTTCAGTGAAGAGCAGCAGTTGGTACTTGCCTACTATTTCAGCTGTTCCAGCTGTCCTTCTTCCTCCCCCCTTCAAATGTTTCATCTTGTTTGGTTTTAAGTCAAATTTGGGAAACTGTCAGTGTCCCTTCTAGTCACAGAGTTTTCTAACACTCTGCCTAGGACACATGTAATAACAAAAGAATCCAAAGGTGTTATCAGCATGCTGAAGAGATCAGTCCTATTTCTCTCCAGACGTGTTGTGTTTCTGCTGTGAGGAGGCATGATAAATTTGGACCACATGGTCTGCCTTTGAGTTGGAGGAAGAAGCCCTTAAGCTACCTGTTAGATTCTATCAGGAAAGAGCAAAACAAAAGGCACTGCAAACACTGCTATAGTTCAGGAAGATGCCAGTGACGTCTGTTCCAAAATATGCAAGAGAAATCTAAAACAGGTATTATAGTCTCCATTATTAGAAAGAAATGATTAGTTAAGGTAACCAAAAGACATTCTAACATAACTGGGCTGAACACTGTTCAAGGCAAAATAAAAGGTCACTGATTCCATCCACTTCTAAAGAGTGATTAAAAAAGGCCACCTTCGCTGGTAGATTAGTTGCATTCAATCTCAAAGAAAAAAAAGAAGGTGGGTGTGGGGGGGTAAGCAGTATCTGACAGAAGCAGGCAATGTGAAATCCAGCTCCCTGACATCTTACTTGTTTATTTTCCTGGCATCTCGAGTTTTCAGCCAATCATCAAACTTGGACCAGTCATCAGAAGGCTTCCAAGCATCTCTTCCTGCGAAGAAGTCTGGGCAGATGGCTCTGCACACAGACACACACACACACAAAAAAAATAATGAATGAACTAATCAAACACTGAGATTTTTTTGGCCCCTCAGAGCATGGGAAGTTTCTATCGAGCCATAATTTTGTTTTGATTCTTTTTTCCTGAGAAAGTAATGCTTTTAAACACCATTGTTAACTATTCTACAGAAATGCCTATGAGATTCAGAAAACATTTACAGGTATCTATATAGCTTTTGTTCAATGACTAAACCACATAAGACTATTTGTGATACAAATCTGGAAAATACAAATATTTTTATCCCTAGTATTTTACCTGTTTTGAGTACATAATTTGAAACTATACATAGTAAACCATTAGATTGTCTTGTAAAGGATGATCAAACTTGGTCCTGCTTACAACAATTTTAGAATTTTCATAAAACATAATACCATTTAACATAAATCCATCGTTAACGGGTTCCACTTAAACAAAGACAATAACATAAAATAGTTATTTACTACAGAGCACATTATGAGGTTTACTTATGAGCTAGAAAAAAAAAAAAACCACATGATGGACTGAGGTCAAGAAACAAGTGAAGGGAAAACATGTGAGAAGAAAGGGAAGAGTGTTTTCCTGTGGATATAATTTGGTGACTAGAAAAAGGGAAGTACACCAAGACCCCACTCAGTACTAAAGAGTTCCTGCATCACAGGGGTGCCCAGACCCTGAGTTAGGATGACCTTGACTGTAACGTGTTGCATGACCAGCAGCAGAGTTGTGATGGTGCAGTCGCTAGTGGATAATACAGTGTCCTCATGCAGAAGGGAACAAGCATGGAGTCTGGAAGCTCCCGTCACTATGTCACCCCCAGATGCTGCTGTGTGTTCTCCAAGCCCAGCCCACAGGGAAGCAATGGGATCCCTTGGAAACTTCTATCATCTTTCACTTATTAATTGTCTTTGGCTCTCTCCCTCCTCAGACACACAGCATGTACCTCAATGATCATGGCGAAATGACTGGATCAGTTTGGCCTAGAGCAGACCAAAGTATGTTGTAGCATTTTGTATTTTCCTGTGTTTGACCATTTCTGCTAAAAAACCAGTAACATCCACAGCATACTTGTGTTTGGAAAGGTATGGGCAAAACTGCACAGCCTTTGGATAAGTACCTGCCAGAAAGGCTACATATTGCTTTGAAAATGAACCTTCCCAAGCCCACATAGAACAGGTTCTTCCCCACTCAAACTAGCTTTGTAAGACACTACAAGCCATCAGTCTTAATACAGTCTCTGAAACACAGCTCTCATAGCTCCTCATCCCATAGGAAAAAATCCATCACTAGGAAAAAATCCATCTATTTTCCTCTCAATAAACATTGGTGCACCACTTCAGCAGCATCTTGAAGCAATCAGGGAAGACACACACAGGCTCTCTTCATTCAGACACTGCTACCTGAAAACTCTCAGGTCTCCTCCTGCCTAGAGCCATGGAAACTTCTACTCTTGACCACTGCAGTATTAGCAGTATAGGTGGAGGGAAAGTAGGTATTACAAAAAGAAGCACCACATGACATGAATCGCAGGGAAAAGTTACAGGAAGTAAGGTAGTGTGGAGAAATACCAATTCATCAGACACTGGGTACTTTTGACTGAGCAGACTCTCACTGTAATCAGGAAGGACACTGTCACACTAGCGATTTGCCAGTACCCTGCACAGCATGAAAGGTGTATGTCCAGTCTCATGTTGAGAATGACAGCATTTGGTCACAAGACAAACATACTTCCTATTATGAAGCAGATCAGGGGAAGTCCAGTCCTCAGGAAAGACAGTAGCAAGGAGCAGACTGTAGACCAACTCATTGCTACAGGGTTATCAGAAAACCCTAATCCTCACAGAGTGTCTTTCTCTCAGAGAGAGAGCTCCTTTCAGCTCCACAGACAAATCTCATCCACATGGCAACTGTCTGCTGACATCTGACTTCCCTCATGCTCCACAGGCTGAGAGCATTAAAGACACCATCTCTCAAAACTAGATCACTACAGAATTAGGTAGAGGTTTGCTTTTTGGAACTGCAGGCCAGTCCCAACCCCACATGAATGTTTGTAATGTATAGTGCAAATGGAGTACCCTGCAGCATATCCAGTTATTGCAAGATGTTGCTGCATTTTGAAATTTAACTGCTGTAGGGCACTGAGTGTGAAAGATTGGGCGGGGGGGGGGGGGGGTGGTTTGGGCGCACGCGTGTTTGGTGCATTTGATCCTCCATATGTACATACGAATCACTCAAAATATGACATTCATTCATATTTCTGCTGATGACAATTTTTTAAAACCCCATCATATAATTTATCTTGAATGACTGTTTATTTTAAAAAGACTTCTAAAAACAGAATACACACTTCTGTTTCAGAACACACTATTTTTTAAAGCCATCTCACATTGCTGGGAAAATCATCAGAATCACTTTTTACTGTGCCTTGTTTTCAATATTCTCTGCATTCTATGTATGCAGCCACTTCTGTAAACAGCAAAGCATGAAGGAAACATGCTGTACTCTGCAACCTTTCACAGCAACGTTCCTTTGTGGTTTTCTATTATGGAAATATGTCACTTAAACCTCCCTGGTAATAGTCTCCTCTCATGTATGGGAATAACAGTTCCAACATAAAGGCTAGAAATCATAAAGAGCGTGATTTCTTGGAGAAGAAAAGATTTCTTACATGTATCCATTAGCTGCAAGCATATCAGCCATGTATCTGGTGTTTGGGAGTTGCCATCCAAATATATCATGAATCACAATCACAGCTTTGTCTGTGCTGGCAGGTTTGCAAACATACGCTTTGATGTGCTCAACTTGTACTTCCTGCCCATGGCCCTCATAGTCAAACCTGTCTCCAATGCCACATGGGCAGGGCCTCGATTCGTTAGCCATCTAGGAATCTGCAGGGAAGCAAAAAGGACAAACAGTAACATAATTTATTTGCAGTAGCAACTGAGATTATGGGTTATAATCTTCATGCTGCCCCCACAGTCCCCTCCAGACACTTAGTAATACCCACGTGACACTGCAAGGTTAAAAGTGAAAGCTCCAGGTGTTCATTGTAATCAGGCTCCTGACACCAGCCCTCTCTGGTTAACAGAAATATTCATGAATTCCAGATCAGTTAGCATAACCCAGGAGTGCAGTAAGGCCAGAAGAAGGTCTTATGTCAATCCACCATTCCGACCATTGTGCCTGGAGCAATCCATCATGTGATAACTACATTTCCATGTGATGTCCCCACATGCTGTACTTCATAACCATTCCTCTCACGTGGTCTTACAGCTCCTCCTCACAGGCTGGTACCTGGTAACCTCTCACTGTTACTCCTGTGAGCCCCCACTGCCAGCATGCTGCTTTTCTGACTACTTTTTCCCTTCAGGTTTTCTTTGTGCATGTCCCCTTTCCCTTTCTCCATGGGGAATCCAAGGCTGCTGCTGCTGCCTACATGCACTTTGCTGGTCCCCTGTATCCCCTACTGCATACAGCCCTTTCCCAGGGAACCCATCATTAACTGGCATGTCTAAAAGTTCTAATAAATCAACTCAAAGAAGGTAAATCAGCAGAGAGTTTTCTCTGAGAGTTACACACTATGTAATCTGAACTGAGAGTTGTCAGAGGAATACAGAGACATACACCAGTGTTGTGCACACAACATATCCTCATACATCACAGATACGTTAACTTCTCTAGAGGTATACATTTTAAAGGACAAACTGGAAACTGGTCTACTTTTCCTCAAGTGAAGAAAGGTTTCCAAAAAGTTTATGACCTAAGAGGTCTTCTCAGAAGAATCCCTCAAGCTCAGTTTAATTTCTTGTTCCTTTCAACTGGAGATACGCCACTGTAGCACCTTTTTAAACCAAACTACCTTTTGGTGCCCCCTATTCTTCCCCCTCCACCAAGCAGTAGGTGGTCACACACAGAGCCTTTTTTCTGACGTAGTCTGAGAAGTTGTTTAGCCTAGCTCCACCATCACTCTTAACTGATCAAAATGGCACCATTTGCCTATTAACAAGAGCTAGTCTCTCTTCCCATGTAAGTACGCGCACTGGAATGATATTCCTTGGTCTGGCCGGTCTCCTTAATAAAATGAAATGCAGCATGCTGGCAAGAAAAATCAATTAGGCACTCTTCAATGCCTAACTATTTTTTGTTAGGAATATTATTCATTAGCCATTTATCGCCCTCTAGATTTTCTAACTAATTCAAAGAGACGACAAATAACACCTTTAATATACTTCCAATACTCCATCCCCTCTTCAATTTCTCTGCTACAAATGTGTGTAACATGGTAAATGATATTAGAAGCAAAACAACAAAACACTGAACAACAAAACAAATTACTCTAAATCCTGCCTCTTTACACCAGTTATGCTCGTTCCACAGGACAATGCACTTTGGGGTGATCCATGGAAAGGTTCCCAGCACTGAGAACTGGCCCCCTTTAAGGACATCTCTCAACAGTGCCTTTTTTGAACAAAGCTCATCTTCTGACCTTCTGCAATCAACCACAATGTAATCTCCAAAACATGCAGCTGGAGTTTAACTTGCCAGTTAGACTGACCGCAGCTTTGCCAGCTGGAGCACCTCTCCTATCAGAACAGGCTGAGAGAGCTGGGGTTGTTCAGCCTGGAGAAGAGAAGGCTCCGGGGATACCTTATAGCAGCCTTCCAGTACCTAAAGGGGGCCTACAGGAGACCTGTGGAAGGACTTTTTACAAGGGTACGTAGCAATAGGATGAGGGGGAGTGGCTTCAAACTGAAAGAAGGTAGATTTAGATTAGATATTAGGAAGAAATTTTTCATTTTGAGGGTGGTGAGACACTGGAACAGGTTGCCCAGGGAAGCTGTGGAAGTTCCACTCCTGGAGGTGTTCAAGTCCAGGCTGGATGGGGCTTTGCTCAACCTGGTCTAGTGGGAGGTGTCCCTGCCCATGGCAGGGGGGTTGGAACTAGATGATCTTCAAGGTCCCTTCCAACCAAAACCATTCTACGATTCTATGATTACAATGAGGCAGAAGTACCTTTTCCAAATCTCAGGCAAAGCAAAGGCATGCACCTTCAAACACACTCTGTATAACTGACCAGACTTAGAACACCTCTCCTACCATTGTGCTTGCTGACTGTTTTCATTCAGGAGCAGTTCATCTGAACAGTAAGCTGACAAAAGTTGATGTCTACTTAAGCAAAAGTCTTGTTTCGTTTAAAATAAATGTTTAAAAATACATCTTGAAACACAAGATGTGTTTAAGTAAAAATAACAGTATTGACAAGGTTTAATACACAAAACCAACATGCTGCATCAGTAAGTTTTTTTAAAAAACGTAATGACTCAAGGAATGTTTATGAATTATTCACAGAAAGGGTTAAATCATGTTGTACTGCTGAGGCTATCCCTACATATATGCAAAAATTCACAGCATAACCTTTCTCTGAACAGAGTGAATGCTTGTTAAAAAATACTAATTAAACTGACATGGAGGCAGATTTTCAAAAGTACGTAAGAACAGTTCACAGAAGGGTTTAATAGACTGTTGAGCAGACCATGAACAAAACACTTTTCTCTCCCCACACCCTGAAGAATTCATCTGGTACAGCTAGAATACATTTAAATAAAAATTGCAGGAAGACAGGATTTTAGATGTTGCTTATTAACTGAATTCCAATTTTCATCCAAATGTAATTCAATCACCACAATTTTAATGAGCAGAAGGTTATTAGTTTAGCAATCTGATTGTATTTGCCATTTAGATCAGCTCTTTGCACTTGTAGGTGAGATCAGCTCTTTGTACTTGTTAAACTTCAAATGAAATTCAGCTCAAACTTGCCTACAGCTGAGACACATATGAAGACTTCTAACATCAACTACTCAGGTTTGATCTCCACCTGATAAATCAGCTGCATTGCCATCTCTTTTGACTTTTCTTTCAAAGCTTTATGAAGTGTGAATTTCATTATGACTTTAAAATGCTGCACGTCTTGCCTTTTTTCAAAAAAAACCCACTCGTTATACTTTACAGTCTCACAGTTTTAGACACTTCATCACATTTTATCGAGCCCACACACAACATACTTACAGCCCAGATCTGGCATTTCCATTGCCCTGATTTACCCTTCCCTGTTTCAAGACTTAGGCTATCACATAAGCCCCCTTTATAAAATGAAACCAAATAGTAAAACAATTTTGGGAAGACACAGTTTAGGCAGAGAGTCCAATCTGTGAACTTCTAGTATTGCAGCCATAGCACAACAGCATCTGTGCTATTCTCCCACCCACAGTGGTGAGCTTGGGGCTACAGCATCAACACAGAAATAGGTAACAAGACTCAAAATATCCCTAGTTTGAAACACCCCTGTGCTTTCTCTTTCATCCCTCTATGTATTCTTCCCATTGCTCAGAAACACCTCATCAGCCCTTTTCCTGCCTCCTCTGCAGCGTGTCATCAAGGTAGCAACTCCCTGCCTTTTCATCCAGCAAGCTCTGATCCTCAACTGATAGGACTGGAAGACACAAAACTGGAAAAATGGTCTCTACGAGAGTCTATACTGTAACAGAAACTTCTCCTACCTTTAATGAGCGCTGGTGATGCTTGGATGGCAGAAGTTCAGATTTACTAGTTGCTATTCTTTGAATCCTACTTCTTCAGTTATGTATATTTGGGTTGTTTAAGGTGCGTCCCGTCTCAATTAAGTTTTAGTTTGCTGAGTCATTTTAATGTGGTTTTGCACTATTTGGCCAATCAGGTTTAAATAACAGAGAACTGCAAGGAGATTAACTCAGCATTTTGGAACTAATACTGTTTGTCACGGTCAAAATTCCCTTAAGCAGCTCAGTATACCTCTATTTATATTTGTTTGTATGAGAAAAAAAGATCTTACTCACGATGAGCAAGCATAAACAGAATACCCTCAGGGTACAATTCAAATCATGCTTCTTCCAACTCATTGGCTTATCAAGTTTTAATGATATCCCAAGGCAATCTGACTTTGCCATGTACAGGAGATAAACCGATAAACATTCAGTAGTCCAAAATAAAATGCAGGGTGTGACGATGTTGTACCACAACGAGGGCTGCCTCTGAAGAACTGGAGAGTCCTAAGGAGGCAGTGACATTTCAGCTCTTATCAGAATGCAGCAGTCTACAGTGCTTTGCTGCATGCAGAGACAACATTCAGCTGGTTTGCTCGCTACAGCTTTCCACTTCCTAGGAAGCCAGGTTTTCTCTCACAGTGGTGAACCACTACTGCAGGATTTGACAGGCAACATCCAGAGTGTTGATTATTGTAATTAGAGCCAAACCCCTCTAAAAGCCTTCTTCATGACAATTAAGGAGAGGGGCCCCATCTTGTGGACATTTCCTGGAGCGAGAACGGCTGTGAAGCTGTTAAATATAGTGCTTTTAGTGCAGTACTGAAAAGCTAGCTACGATAGCGATCTTCATCAGATCTCGCCTAAACTAGAGTTATGTCTGGGCTGAGCAGCCACGGAGTACGCGCAGAAAACACCTCCTTTCTTCCTCCCGAGGCAAACCATCCTCCCCTTTCCACAGTTGTGAGGAATCCTGCCTTGACATGGCTTTTAAGGACCTGGAGGAAAGTTTACACGCTACCTGCAAACTCCTTACCTGCGCATTGAGGAAGAAGGACAAGGGCAGAGGGGAATGAACAGGGATGAAGTCAGGGCATCCACCACCACCAAGGTCGACCAACCAACCCTGGGGACAATTTACTACACCATGAACAGCAGGAGAACCTGGAAACCCAGCATGGCTGGACACCCCCTGGGCCAGCGTTGACAACACAGGGCTCAGCGCATTTGGAGAATACAGCCAGGCTTTCACACCTCTCCTCTACAAGCTGTTTACACAACCTGCAGCTGTGTCCCATGCAC